CTTTTTAAAAAAAGACAAATTTGCTAAGGATAAAATTGCTTACGCATACGTTTAGGTTTCTAAATATAGATAGAACTATTATACCATTCATACTAAAATTGCATGCTTTCTGTTTATAGAGAATACGAAAGGATAGCCTACGAAGAACCGGTTTACGAAGATGTGGCCAGGTTTGGTGTCAACACATTTGGTCATCTCAGAATCGATTACACGCCGAACTGGAACAAGCTAGATCGATATATAGGCAGGGCATGAACAATTAACAGTTAAATCGACCTATATTTAATATTAATTTATGTTTTACACTGAGTAAATTTTATTCCCTGATATCTATGTAGGATGAATATCAGCAGAATTTAATGATGAAATGCTTCATAAGACATGTCTGACATGAGTTTGGAATTGTGTGGCTCTCTGTTTTCAATAAAATTTCCATGTTGAACTTTTTGGACAAAAGTTAACATTTTGAAAGATGGGATATTTAATTAGATTATTTTTTTTTTAAAGTGTACTATATTCAAAGAAAAATAAGTCAAATAATACTATTACATATTATTTAAATATGTTATTACATTATTATTGTTGTTATTATTAGCTTAAACAAACTTTGTACAGTGGCGGTTTCTGGATAGAGACCAGTCTCCATCGTAACCAATTCCAACTTACGAAATAAAATACCTTGAGAAGTAGAGATACCTTCAGTTATCTTATTACTATTTCAGTCGAGTTAATGTAAAATCAAGCAGTTTTCTATCAACTAGGAGGCGTTAAAAGTTATAGCTATTTACAGCATAATTTGTTTTGGGTAATTTATTTATTTCTTACAAATTTATTTATATGGTTAAAATAAAATTTAAAAAAAAATATAGGCTAAATTAGCTGTTGCACAGATAATTGCACCTAAGCGACGAACTGAAGCACAAATTATGTGTGTACACTAGGAAATCATAGTATCGCCTCCAACCCTCACCAAACTCTGTTTCCCATCTTTATTAGGCACTTAAGTGCACATCATAAGACTGAGCTTGCAGCAATTTCACTGCTCAATTCGGCACAGGTTGGATCTGTTGGAATGAAGGAGTTCCATTTTCTGTTCATTTATTTAATTCCAAATACCATTTTCCATTTCTTTAAACTACTACAAAGTGATTGCACTGATTGCAGTGATTTACTTTTGTAAAGTTAGAGTAACCATAAGATCCTGTGACAATGAATATAGATAGATAAAATAGTCAGACAAAGGAATAACTTGTAGCTTGGAAACTCAATCTGTTCCATTTAATTTACAGTGAATAAATTTAACTGCCACTGCTAAAAAAAAACAAAAAAAAAACAGCTGCTTCAACAGATTTCCTAAAATATCAAACGAATAGTAAAATTACATGATTTTGTTTAGTTTAAAATAACTAATGAGCGAATAATTATAATTTAATAGTATATTCAAGATAAGCAGAAATTTCTATTTCTCACATATTTCTTGTCATTTATAGAAAATATAATAATTGAGACTAAATTATAATGTGAAAAATATGAAAGTATAAAAGACAGTACCAAAAGGTTATATCAATATTTTTACTAAGCTAAGAATATTACACTTGATAAAAAATATATATATATTTAATAAACAAATTTTAGCTTGCTAAAGGTGTAAAACAGTATTTTTTTTTAAATAATTTAATTTGTAATTAAAATAATATATATTATTACATTGTTTGAAGATGTTTTTTTAGTATCGGCTGCTTTCTTATATAACCTTGTCCAGTTCACTAATAAAATATTAAAGATTTCGTCAGATTTTAAAGTTGTTTTTGTTCATTTGTGTAATTTTTATTTTATGGATTCAAACCGGAGTTTAAAGTTTTAGAGGTAAGCCATCGATATGTTGAAGTACGTATATGTAAAAAACATTCATTTTCTCTTGTATAAAAATATCTATATTTGGTGTAAATGTTAAATTTTTAATGCAACTGCATTTTAAAATGCACGAAAAATCTCTAGGTTTTCGAATTTGTCTCAGGATCTTTGTCTATTTGTCCCGAGAGATCTGAGTCACTGACACAATAAACACTCTCGAGTGTTTTTCCTCAAGTTCACACTAAGCATTACTTGACACACCTGAACGCAAAACAATGTTTTGTGATATGTTAATACAATATCCTGAGCTTGATGAAACACTGTTAAATCTTGATATCAATGTTTTCTAATAACAAGGCCTTATCAAAGGTCCCATTGGTTGATTATTATCAATTGTATAATTGTACAATGAGATACAATACAAGTCATGGTAATGGAGGAGGTTACTCTTATTCATATATACTAAGTATGATGACATATATAATGAGGTAACCAGTTTGTTAGTCAACTTTCCGATTAAGTAGATATACATATATATGTTTTTCTTAATTATACTTTATATAGCAATCATTGTATATTTAATTTTTTTTTAATAAATAATCAAATCTAAATTATCAGTTGTTTTTCTTTATATAATCCTATACCATGTCAGAAATTCAAATTTTTAATCAACTGATTTGTAAACCTTCTGTCTGATTATGATAATTTTAGTGTTTTGGCAGTTTGAAGAAAAAGTGTAAACTGAATGAAAATTTACTTCAAAATAATTAAATTGAAACACTACAAAATTGGTAAATTTCAACGTTAACGAAGTAATAATAACGAAGGTTACACAAAAACGACATTGCCAGGAAGATATGCAACACCAACTGGTGAAGTTATTTCAACACCTGCGGCATTGGTCTTCAGAATGTTCAGAAGAGGGTTTGATGGTGCAGGTTGCGCTATCAAAATTTTTGAGGGAGGTATATTTTGGCGGGTTTTTGAATTTTTGAAGGGGCTACATTTCAGGAAGATTAGGAATTTTCGGAATGAAAGTTTCATACCAAGGGACAAGAGAAAAACATGGAACACACCGCATCAAGTGTAATTGGATATGATCTACGATTTTTTAAATTCTCTCTTCGCTTATTCTGTTTTTATGAAAAGGTGAGCAATAAAATATCTTGGGAGTGAGGAGAGAGATAGATTCTTGAGCCATTGGTCTTGGGGGGAGGCACGGGCGGATCTACGGGGGGGCTTTCGGGCTGAAGCCCCCCCCCCAAAATGGAAAAATATAACCATGTTTTATGGGGAAAAAAAATTTTAAAATACCTCTTAAAGTATTATTGTTCGTGTAATTATATTTAAAAGTACTTAAGGAATAACTTAAACACCATTTCATATAGGTAGTTAGTTTCTTTCTGTTTTTCCAAAGTAATTATCGTTATTTTTATGAAAAAAAAGGTTCCGGGCTGAAGCCCTCCCCAAAATTAAATCCTGGATCCGCTAGTGGGGGGAGGGAATGAGCACTGCTGTTGTTCTTCAACAAATACGCAGACTATTTAGAGCTGGACAGGAACAAATATAGAGTATTAAGAAACTTGGAAAATGGAGTGTCGTGATAGGAAAGGATAAACAGATTTTAATCAAATTTAATAGAGAAATAAATTGAAGCAAAACATGGTTCTGAACACTTCACTTCGGTTTGGTTTAGTCCATTCCCAAACTAAGGATATAAGGGTATGCTCAGTGACGCAGTTATAACGCTCTGAGCCTGAGGTTTTACTTATTTTATTTGATTTTTTACTAGTCTTTTCTACCTTTATCATCTTTCCATGTTTGTTAAAATGTCTTCAATTTTTCGTGGTCATTCAGCAGCTCAGATATTCAGTTGTTTGTAATGTATTGCTTTGTTTGACACCTTGCCTAGATATATTATTTTCCTTTCATTAACTTTCAGCAACAAGATCTTGTTTGTTTGGAGTTGGAAAATTTTCGAACGTAAAGATTTAGTCTATTACTAAAGAGTATATGATGGTAATGTTCATAAATTATTGAGAAAAATAATGATATTTTAAAAAAACAAAACATCCTACGAGCGATGAAAGATAGAGGTTGATTAGTGATTTAGATTTAATAGATAAAACTATAAACAGAGTTTTCTCTTTGGACTCTGAAAAAATTAATTTAAGTCTGTGCATAAGTTAGATTAAGGAAACTACTATATTTTCCAACCATCCAAAATATGCGCCTCAAGTTCTAAACAGGTGTTGTTCCACAATGCACACAGGGCCGTGGATGAAATCAAGGGATCCAAGGAGATTTTAATGGACAAATAAAATATTAATTTTATCGCTAAACCCAACCGAAGGCTTTCGTTAATATATGAAACAAAAACATTATGTAAAAATATAACATAATTATTGTATAATATGTGTAATGTTATACATACTTCATTTAATATAAACTAAGAAGTTATAAAATAAAATATTCTAGGAAATGCCGGGCTCCTTTCGGACCCTTGGGCTGCCTTCTCTCGTTGTACCTGAAAGCACCCAGACAGTTCCACAAACCTACCACCAGCTAATTAAAACACTGACATTAAGCACAATATAAAATTAAGACTATAAATTATTATAAAAAATGCATTGTTGACGTAATCGTTCAAAATAGTTCTGTATATTACCAAAAATCCTATCTAGTAGCGCCCCCAAAACCTACTGAATCCACCCAAAAATCAACGCCTCACTAGCGGTTTCATGTTTAATTTTTTGGGGAAAGGACTACTTTTTTTTAATAACTGTAATTATAGGAACAAAAATGCTTTAAGAAATAAAATGTTCATATATATATATATATATATATATATATATATATTTTATACCTGCTTACATTTAGTAGCATGTGCGTTGTGATGCGTAGAAAAAGACATATTTATAAAGTACTTGGCTCAGGTCACTAATAGAAACAAATACGGACCAATGAAAGAAAAAATTAATTTTCTATTTTTGAAGAGTGGAGAGTCAGCTAGTAAGCTTTATTTTTGTTTTCCTGAAAGAGATGATTTATTATTTCATAAAAATATGTTGTTATTACTAAGTATATTTGTTGCTACATGCTTTAGCAACAAATTTGAACATTTTTTCCTATTTGAACATTTTTTCCTCTTTTAATTTCGTTCAATTATTTCTTTCTGAACTTATTTTCAGGTGTACATATGTATGCATAATTTTATGTCTAATTGTAAATAGTTTCCTAGGAAACACTTCCGTAATCTTTAAGCGTCATTTACTTACATTTCATTTTGTGACTGCTTTTGATTCAGAAACAGCTGTCTCGAAAATGGCCTCATGTTGGATGAGATTTCCAATGTTTTCGCGAAGATTTTCTCTTTTCTCTAGTGGGCTTGCTAAAAAAACGAGTAAGTAGCGCTGTTAAATTATTTAACATTGAAACTTCTTCCGAAAACACTGTTTTTTGTAGTAAAAGTAGTTTGTCTATAATTGTTTCATTTTTTTTTTTTTTGGTGTTTAAACTCTTTATAAAGCTCTATTGTGTTGTGAATGATAAAATAAATATACCAAAGTTTTGAGGAATGAATATATTGGTCACTTTGTTTTATAATTAATTAAAAAGTATCCTATAATGTTAAAGGTTTCCTAATGGCTTATAATAACTAATTCTGGATAGAGTTACCTTGTGGTTCTTCAAATTCAATCAGTACTTCTATACTGGTTGTGTGTTCACTAGGAAATGAAGGTTGCCAACATTTCAGTCTATAATTTAAACCTCCAAAGCTAAGAAAACAAGATACATTATTTCAATTTTTTGTTTATGAATAAATTATTTTGTGAACTCAATCTTCTTTGTTTATTTATTGCCATCATTTACATTTAACATCTACTTTTCTAGTTGTTTTCTGCTTCTTAATGATTATCTTGATCTATCATTAGTATTCTCTTTCTCAGAGTCAGTCTTTCATTTTTTTATTTCATAAATATTTTGTCATTATAATAGTTATATAATATTTGGATACCTAATTTGAAATATAAATATGACTTTGCAAGTGTCACTACTACTTTGACATGTGGACCAAGATCACATGATCACGCTGTAACTTGGATTCTGTGAATTGCCAAGTAATTTACTATATAAGGACAACTTAATTATGGGATAATGAACAAGTTGTAATTAAAATAAAATATTTAAATATAAAAAATATGGATTTGTAACTGATAATGATAAAGAAATAAATCTGTATAATATGAAAGTAGGAAGGAAAAAGAGTTCACAAAATAATTTGTACCATTTATTCTTTTCGACGTGCAAGAACAGCAAAAAAAATATTGATACTGGTACCATGTTTGCACATTTCACACAAGTTCCTAACACAGGAGTTCTTCAGACCTCCACTATTCGTAACATAAGTATAATTGACAATTGGGTCAAAATAGTGAGACTGATCATACTGTAGATGGAATTCTGAAAGTGGCCTAGGAAATTACTGTACAAGTGTTGCTCCACTTTGATGGGTGGTATAAGATCTCATGATCACACTATAAATGAAATACTGTGAATGGCCTAGTATGTCTGAAAACTGAAAAGGACTCATTGTGGGTTTGTTAACTCTTTTTGAGTGAATGAAAATCAAAAGCAATGATATTAAAGCCGGAATTTTAACTTGTAGGTCATAAACCACAATCTAAATAAAGGAAGGTTATATCATAAACATTTCAATCATTGGCCATTTTGAGCATCCCATTTATAGTGTGATCATGAGATCTTGGCAGTTCAAAGGAAGACAACACTATTACTTAGCTTAGTGTGGACAACACTGTTGGATCACAACACTCACTCAAGGGGTAAACTAACTATAAAAGCTGGTACTTCAGATTATAGTGTGTCTTACCTTCTTGGTCGCCTCTATAGTTTTGGATGTATTTCCCTATTTTCAGAATTCTGTGTACAATATGATCATGACTTTCCTGTTTAGCAGAAGTGATCAGTTTGAAATTTTAAGCTTAGGCTTCAAATTTAAACTTGTAAAATTTTCATGAAATTTTAATTTGTTTACTAAAGTGGCAGACCCAGTTGATCATGCTACAGGCTTAGAAAAGAAAGAACTTTTGGCTCGTATTTCCGGTAATGATGTAAGTATAAGCTATTAAAATATTTGTTTTCAGTTGATTACATTTTATTATATGGTAAAATTTGCTAATTTAATGAATATTTATTATTTTTGTTACTTTCCATAAGTACTACTTCAATCCAATATGGCAGCTGAGAGGAGACAGGATCACACTGTACTTGGAATTCTAAAAGTGTATAATAAGATATTAGCTTCACTTCAAATGAAATGAATAAGAACTAGAAATTGAAGTATGTTTACCTGTTTTGAAAAAAAAAAAACAGAATTTGAAAGCTGTAGTTCAATTCAAACAGTAATAATTTCAAAAACTATTACTAATAATTCTACTAAAACCACTGGCGGACCTATGGAATGAATCTTGGCCTTTCCATTGTTAGAATAAATTTGGTTGTACCTCTAGAACCTCCCGAAATAATCCCTGATTTTCTAATAAACTATTAATCCTAAATAACGTTACGTTGTGATGAAGTTAGACCCATATAAGAACAGGGTTGTCAATACTTCTGGACACTTTAAAAATTCCATTTGTAATATGATTGATGTATCTCTTTGTTGGAGTGACAATTGTGAAGTTGCATTATGCATTTCCCACAACAATAAGAGGAATCTCATCAGGTTGTTTAGGTTACCATAAGACTATTAATCATACAGTCTGACTATAAACTGTTCACATTTTTTAACTTGAGATATATTTTTGCTAATATAGCATGCATAACATCCATCCCATTACTGCAAGTACAGATAATACACTCTAAGGGACTGTATGTCTACCAGTACCACTAGTTTATACCTCTGAATTTAACTACTTATATCATTTTCTAATTACAGGTGTTATTGACTTATTTATTTTTCTTATACTACTGTTATTTTTCTTTTGTTTTTTTATTGCCGAAAGTCATACAATTGTATTAAAGAGAAGTCAGTTTTTTGTTCTGGACTAATCTACTTGGTGTTTTTTGCAAAATGGTGCATGTTTTCCTGAAATGTTAAGCTATTGAAATCTTTAATTTTATCCCATCTGTACTGGTTTATGCATTGGAAACAAGCTCAAGAAGCTTCATTACTACGTTTTGAAAGAAAAGTTCTGAGAAAATTTATACACCATTTTTTCAGAAAGTCGTATGGAGGAGAAAGGTAAGCATAAAGCTAAAATCAATGTACAGACATTGATGTAATCCAACACATCAAGCTAGCAAGGCTACCTTGGCCTGAACATGTGTGGATGCGAGATGAAGAGATTCCGCCAAAGCGTTCCAGTAGCAAATATACGGTGTTTGTCGCAAAGACAGACTATGGCTTTGATGGGAGGAATGTGTTGCCTCAGATACCCAAGCTATTCTTGATATCTGTAATTGGAAGGCATCAGCACTTGATAGAAAAAACTGATGATTAATGTTGAAGGAGGGCAAGGCTCAGCTCAGTGGATCGTAAAGCCAACAAAAGAAGAAATCTTCAATCTGACCAGCAAAAAATAAAAAAAAGTTCATAAAGTTCACTCTGGACCATCTTCCTTTATAATGCAACAATCAACTCTATTAAATACTAAAAAAAAATCATGTGTTTAATGTTTTTTTAATAATGTTTAATCATAAGTTTTTGTTCTAATTCACTTTTTTTGGGGGGGTGTCACCTTAACAACAAAATATTGGTCATAGCATAAATGTTGCCAAGAGGAAAACTAAATGAAACAGAACAACAAAATTAGATATGTCTCTATATAAAAACAGCCTAATTTTAGTTTTGAACCTATAACCACAAAAACTACTCAACCAATCTTTCCCACATCTTAACTTTTCATTCTCAGAAGATTTAGGTATAATGACATAAATCAATGATTTCTTATTCATGCTACAATTTATAAGAACGTAGCAGTAATCATACACGTTAATTATCTGCATAATTATAAACAATTACACTAGTACGTTATGTAAATAACGTTTTCCATCACTGTATATAAAATTAAAGTACTAACTTTCAAGCATAGTAGAGTCGAATTTAAGAAAAGTCTCATATTTGTCAGGTTGTTTAGATAAAGAGTATTTACTTATACTACAGGTGAAAAAAAAAAAAAAATAGATATATCGGCTGAAATATTGTAAGTATTTTTATTAGTCCTTTGGTTCTTCCACATAAATTCTGGATGTTATTCAGTTAGTCATATCATGTTTATTGAAGAAACATGTATGATCTAAATTGAACACTAGTGAGACAACGGAAAATACCTAATGATCTAAAATCTTAAAATTACGCCTAACATATTATTTAATTGCTAAATGTTCAACCTTCATTGAATAATTTTTGGAAATTTAAATGTAATTTACATAACTGATCCTTTTTGCCAATTCCTAATATATTTGACTTCACAGAATCCATTTGATCTGAGAGTACTTAAGAGAGGATCAGGCTGCAGAGACTCTCCGAATATGATTCCGTCTAGCTTTGATGCTCGGTTGGTGGGCTGCGTTTGCGACGAAGATTCCACATCGCTCCAGTGGATGTGGCTACACCAAGGCTGCCCGAGAAGATGTGCCTGTGGCCATTGGTTCCAGTTAACCTATAAGCCTCCTCTCTAATCGCCACTTAATTTATCTTTCAACCACTCTAACGATAGTATTATATGTTGTGATATTGATAATATTTTTAAATATAATTTCTGTTTGTAAGTAAATTAACTGTATTGTTTTTGTCCATATCATGGATCAATCTATATTTCCTTAAAATAAGTTATTAAATAATTATCAAATCTCATGTTTTTTATAGGGTGCTCTTAAACTGCTGCAGCATATTAACTTTTATACATTTAAATTTTAATTTATTATTTTGCTTCCTCACTACCAAAGGTAGGGAAGCATTGTATTCATGCGAGAGGTTAAAAAAAATTGCGTGCTCAAAATTGAAAATTTCCACTCGCGTTTTACGTTTCAGACATCAAAGATCAAATTTGGTTAGGCGTCTGTCAATAGTCAAATTTTTGTTGTTGTTCTTCCCTACCTCACCTTTTAGGCTATACCGGATTTTCCCGGGCCGGGGAATTTAAAATCCCCTCTGGCACTGGGACGCGAACTCGTACTTTTTAAATCTTCTCAAATCTGTAATCCGGTTGCCAGGCAACTCGCGGTGCTGTGCACACGCTTTAGCCCATTCGGCCACCTCGCCCCCATCTGTAGTCAATTTTTTTTCTCCTATTCTTCCCTACCTCGCCTTTTAGGCTATACGGGATTTTCCCGGACCAGAGGGTGAGGGCGGGGAATTTAAAATCCCCTCTGGCACCGGGACGCGAACTCGTGACTATTTTCATATCATAGAATCATATATCCGGTTGCCGGGCAACGGCAGTGCAGTGCACACGCATTAGCCCATTCTGCCACCCCGCCCTCATCTGTATTCAAATTGATGTGACGGGCATACCAACTACCTTTTATCTGATTTTCATGAAATTTTCAGGGATTGTGCGGGTTGGTATCTAGATGGTCCCATATCGATTTTATCGCACTGGCTTGCGAACTCGTTAATGTATTTCCATAGATATGCCAATACTTCAGAAACGGCTCAAAGTTGGATAAAAGGTAGGTATTGGTGAACAAATAATTTAATGTCAATTATATTGAATTCTGTCTTTTACTTTCTCTAAAATATGCGCTAACGTGTTTTCCTTGATACGTCTATATCTCTAAAACCGCCAGTTTAATTTGGCTCAAATTTGGAGGGAAGTTAGGGATTGGTAAACCAATGATCAAGTACGTATGAATTTTATCTAGCTATGTCCCACAACTTTTATACAAACTACCTTTGTTAATATCTTTAAGTTTTTGTGTTTTTACTATTATTCCTTTATATTCGTTAACAAACAAAAATAGAAAATTCATAGTAGAAAACACCCAATTATATCAAAAATAAATCCAAAAGTAGCATCAGTTGTCTTGATAGCGAATTTTCTCATATTATTTTAAAAGCAGGAAGAATAATTAAAGTATACGTTTTTCTGAAAATGATCTGGAGAAGTCAGGATATTTCATTAAAACGTTGTGTGGTAGACATAATCAAAAATAATTTAAAATTCTTATAACAAACAATTTCACTAATAAATAAGATTGAAAAAAAAAAAAACATTTTTTAAGATCATATAGATTTTGATTGTTTATTAATCTGAATTAAAATGAAAGAATTCTTTTAAAAGAAGCAGGAGACATTAGGACAACAAAAAGATGAGAACAAAGTTTTAAGATATAAGAGTATTTATAGAAGTGGAACAGGGGATGGTTCCTGTCATATGAATCTTTGAAGTTTTGCGGAACAATTGCAAGATGGAAACTGAATATAATTCTCCAAGTATGAAGGCACATCACTAATAATTTTGTAATTAACAAAGTAGAAATGAAGAATATTCAAGTATATACGAACTATTAGGCAGAAAATAAGTTTTAAAATAACCAATGATTATTGTACAATATTATTTATTTATAACATAATAATTATTCAAATAATGTACCAATTTACGTATCAGTATTAATTTTAGTATATTTTAAATTGAAAAAATGTTAAAATAAATCGATGATGTGAATAAATTTAGTAAATTGTTCAGCTAAAAATAGGTAAATATATATCTATATGGTTTTCTAGGCAGTTTTTAAAATTTAAAGTATTATTATAAATTTAAGACACATTGAAAAATAAAGTATAAATAAAACATAATTCATCGAACAGCAATATTATTATATTTTGACAACTTTGATTATGGTGTTTGGTATCTCCTAATTTAAATTGCACCAAATATTTACTTCACATAAATAATAAACACAATTTATACAAAATAGTCGACAAATCCTCCTGGGCGAATTAAATTTATAAACTAAATAATATAATTATTCGAGGAATGTATTCATTAATGTTTTTAAAACTAAAAAATGTGTCTTATATTTGAATATATCTAAAATTTACAATTTTACATCAAAACTAGAGTTATGCGGTTTACAGTCAAGTGATCAGCTTTAAACTGAAAAAAAAAAAAGAATTTTAACACAGCATTATAATAAATTAGTCTTACATAAAGCATTGCACAGTAAAATATACAAGCCATATTATTTGTAAAATAATACGTACATTTGGACTAACTACTAATATAATACATGTTCTGGGGAGGATCGCCTTTGCGTAACCAAATACCATCCAAGAAAAAAAATATATGCCAGCGCTACACCAAACAAAAATAACCTCCACATTCCAGGAAATTGAAATAAAACCAAAATCATAAAGAATAAATTTAAGTGTAGCATCAAAGAACAACTGCAAGTGACGGCTTTATGTTAACACAATAGTACACAAAATAAACATCATTCAGACGTAGATTGATTCCATTCACTCTAATCATTCGCAAACACAATACATAAAATATATATGGCTAGTTTATCTTCCTTGATGTATCGAGGAAACAACAGCGGTCAGTCAAAAATGTGTTTGGTTTGACTAATTATGGAAATCCTCCACTCCTGAAACAGAAAATGAAGAATTTTAGACAAATATAATTAAAATATTCAATAGTTGCTAATACACAATTTTGTAAACTACATAGAGTTAAAACAATAAATTATGGCAATAATATTCAAGTTTTAAAATAAATATGATAATAATACCATCCATGTCTGTTTAATGGCGGACTAACTCTCAGTTTACAAATTATACAACTGTTCATTTAATTGTGCTACTCGTTGCTCAAATTGTATAACTTTAATTTAAATGTATTCTGTATTTCAGATTATATTATTTTTTCAATATAAAAACTTTTTTATATAATAAAGAAAATTCCAACATTTTAGTTTTGTCAGCATCATATTAAAATAACAAACGGTGGCAACGATTTGAGGTTGGAAAAAAAAACCATCTGTTCCTGGGACACAACACCTTGTGTACATCTGTATTCCGGAGGCAATAATAAAAAACGAAAACCATGTCCATTTTTGTATTGGTTCAGGGGAACCAATGTTCTATAACGAGCTATTAAAATATGTTTCTTAGTTACTAAATCTGTACACCGGAGGTAATGAAGACTATGTCACATTTTTGCATTTATTCTAGGAGTCAATTTTCCATAGCTCTAAGCTATTAAAATTTTTTCTTAGTAACCGAATTAATTAATAAAAAAATGGACATGGTGCCAGCCGTTTACCTTCGGGACACAGATATAATAGAGAGAATCCCAGCATTTTAAATTGTTGAGATTGCAAAATAAAATATAATAGCCACTACAAAATTTTTTATATAATAATATATAACAAATAGTGATATTATAAATAATATTTATGGAGTTTGAACAATAACATTTTGGTTTTTTTTTTTCAGTTAATTTTTCATTTAATTTTAATACCATTCCTATAACTAAAAGAGAAAAATATGTATTATGTTTTGTTTTAAAAGATAAGCTAGTCTTACACCCACATAGCAGAAGGAGTAATGCCGTCTTCCTCCTCGATTATGAATGATAAAAGTAAACGCACAATTTTTTGGTAAGTAGAAAAGATTATAAACAAAGGAAAAAAAAGTAGCCTGACAGGAAGAGTAATAGTTTCTTATGCTCTATCAACCCCATTCAAATCGATATTGATCCCAACAATCGGAAATGACACTTGTAAAGTGTTAAAATAATTTATCCGTTCAATAAATACTGATAACTGAAACGCAGTTATCCTTCAACATTTGTGGGTTAGATATCCACGAGTTTTGATCATTAACAAATACAAAAATGTGCAGGAGTTTCATATTTGCGGATTGTGTATTCTGCTCAATAAAATTGACACAGTGTCATTTTTCTACCAATATCCACCGTTTGCGTCAAATAGAATGAACCGTTTTTAAAATATTGGCATATTTAAAAAAGTACATTTGCATGTGTGTATGAGAAAGTTTTAGATGGAATTCATATAGAACTGTCGAAGTACCAACCCATACAATTCATGAAAATCCGATGAACAGTAGTAGATGATATGCAAGTCACATTGATTTCATTGACAGACACCGAAAAAAATTTGATCCTCAATATTTGAAACATAAAATGTGAGTGAGTGAAAATTTCTCATTCAGAGCTCAGAAATTTTTTAAGCTTGTTGACATAATTACTAATATTACCTAAGTGAATATGTAAAATGAAATAAAAATTGCACAAATAGGGCCTCAAACATTAATAATAAAGAAAACTTTTAATTTTTTTTTTAAAAATAACATCCAATATATAGATATATATTTTTTTTTTTAACTTTTATTATGATATTTACAACTGTATTAGTATGAATACATCAAGTAAATTTGTACAGAGAAATATTATTACATGAAACACGCTTGTTGAGAAACTACCCACTGGTAGCACTCTATATAGATAAATTAAAAAATAATTATCAACTATTATTATAGTCAGTACCTTAAACAAGGACAGGCCATATTTACCCCACCTAAATTGAATTTTGGCAAGAACTTGTTGAAAAACCCATCTTAACCTTCTGCGCCTTCTAACATCTACAGAAATGTCATTATGAATAGGAATTTCCAGATTTTAGGACAGTGAGACAATTATGGCAACTGCCAGGTAAAAGTTAGATTAGATTATTCATAATTTGTACATTTATTACCCTTTGACATTGGGTCACTATGCCAGGGAACAATCATACAATTGCCATGATAACTCGCAGTGGAGTTCATGAGTTGTCATGAAAAAAACTAATTTCATGTAAATAACTTAATATACATTATTTTACCTAAAATTATGGTGAAAAGCTATGATACCACTAACATAAAGAATGGAATCCCAACCACATTAAAAAGAACATTTAATAGGATTCATGCATTTCCATGCCATGCATTGTTTTTAGGTTAACGTACAAGAGTAAAGCAAAATTAACAAATGATAATGACAAAACTATGATGTAATCTGTCTTCAACATAATACAGATAATAAAAGGGTTGATGGATTATTTTTATCATACAAACATTTAACTTTAAATTTTTACATACTTTTTATTTATAAACAGAATTTAAAAAAAAAAAAGGTGAATAAGTCTATATCAATGAGAACTTTTTCATAAAAGATTATTAAAATTCCACTTGGCTTTATGAGGAATATAAACAGAAATTGTGTTGAGTTTTGGGAATATTGTACCATATTTAACTCACTTACCACCAATAGTTATAGAATTATATTTTATACTAATCGTTTTAAACGTACAATTGACAGATCTTGACTAGAGACTAAAATTGATTATTAAAACTAAACTGCATCATCTCAAAAGTTATACAATGCCAAAATTATAAAAGTAAAAAAAAAAAAAGTCTGCCAAGTAAAGTCAGTTGATAATAGGAATGGAAAGCTTCCTCACCATTTCCATTTGCTAAAAAATATCTATATTCTTCTTCTTCATGGGCGCTACAACTCATCGCTGAATCTTGGCCTCCTCAATTAGTTTCACCCACTGGGCTCTCTCTCTCTTGCAGATCTCCTCCAGTTAGTTAGTCCAAGAAGAGATCTACAATCCGCGTCGATCCCATCCAATCAGCCCAATCTAGGTCTTCCGACTCTTCTTTTTTATTTCTGGAAGCGTCAGCATAATTTTGCTGGTTGCGCTGTTCTCATCCATTCTGGCTACATGACCCGTCCATTTCAAATGCTGTATTCTAATGAACAGGACTACATCCGTATGAATATGTATGGCGGCCAGTTCTGCATTACTCAGCTTTCTCCAATCGTTACCTGAGCATACTGGTCCATAAATGCGATGTAGTACTTTTCTTTCAAAGAGCAATAGCTTTTTTCCGCTACATATGTGAAGACAGGACGAATCAGCGTCTTGTACAGAGTCGCTTTTGTTTTCTAGGAGATTAAGCGATTACTTAAATACCAGCGCAGGCCAAAATATCATTTATTTGCCGGCAGAATCCTCTTACATATTTCCTCTGATACATCGTTGTCAGCATTTACTTATAAAAATATCTATATTATAAGGTCTCAATTTTTTCGTATAAGAATAAAATCTCTGAAACAAGCAGTTTTCGGAAATTCAGTAATCTCTCAACATTCACGAGTTTTGTTTATCAGCAAATGATAAAATGCGAAAAAGTTCTTCATTTTCAGATTCCATATTTGATGATTCGTAGTTTAAAAAAAATAATTCCAGTGCATACTGAATATGCTAATCGCTACTGTTAGTGCAAAAGGTGGTATGTAAAAATTGAGTGTTTTACAGAAGAGCATAAAAAATAATTATTTCTTTATGATTTATTAGTATAATTTTATAATGATGTAGAGATGGTTGACCGTGATATAATATGAGGAGTTGGTCAGGGAGTGTGGTCATTTCAGGAGGTGCTATTTTCCATAGTAGTAGTCTACTTATATCAATTGCAGACTACATAATGTCAAAAATAGAATACAAATTTAAAACTTTTACATACGCCCTTTAACAGTAGTGATATATAATTAATAGGTATGTTTTCACTCATAAAATGGATGGAACAAAAAATTCATAGGAAAAAATAAACTTTTTGTTTGTTCAGAGTTAACGAGACCAATACTTTTCTTCGGTCAGAACAAAACTAATTATGCTGGAATATAAAAATATGAGTGAAGTACACAAATCTTTAATATTTAACAAGATAATCGAGACCAAGAGGAGCTGATTAAACTTTAATATAAATAAACACAATCACAAATAAGGCTTTTTTTTTACGAACTCAGACTAACAATTAATTTAAATTAACAGTAAATCACACAAAATCCAAGTAATAGTAGTAAGTATCATGCCAGTAATAAAGTATAAATTAACTTTTTGAATAAAACCCAAAATTTTATAACCTCATAAAAATATTGTATTAACCTAACTCCCACTCCATATGGTAAATTCCTTCCACATTTCACAGCCATTATATTGTTAAAAATTATTAATATTAATTTTAATTATTAAATGGAATTCAATGAAATTGATACTTAGTAATTTCTATACTATTCTGCAAATTTCTTCCAAGTTTGGGTCAAATCGAAAGAACTGTTTTCAAACTATAGGCGTGTCAAATAATACATTTTCTGATCTGAAAGCGGAAGAATTTTTTTTGTAAAAAGTGGATAGAATTTGATAATATTGATACATTCTTGATTATCTGTTTACAAATCCCTAACTTCACTCCAGATTGCAGCCATATCAACATGCAGTTTTAGAGTTATAGACTTATCAAGGAAAACACGTTTGCGCATATATAACAGAAATTAGAGGACAGAATTGAATAAAATTGACACTACATTATTTTTTTATTAATACCTGCCTTTTTTCCAACTCTGAGCCAAATTGAACGAGCTATTTCTGAAATACTGGCATATCCAAGAAAATACATTTATGCGTGCGCAAGAGGAAGTGCTGGATGGATTTTGATAAAATTGATATGGGACCATCTAGATGCCAGCCCTAGATTATTTGAGGTTAATTATTTTAACCTCTCGCGCGAATACAAAGCTTCCCCTACCTTCGGTAGTGAGGAAGCAAAAAAAAAAAAAAAAACTGAGAATTACTCTGTGCACAAATTATTTGATATATTCATTATCCTAAGATTTTATTGAATATGTTCGGAGTTTTTAATCCTGAAATAATTTCTCTCAAACTTTATCACAAGGTTTTTGATTATCTACATTATAGTAATAAATTCATATCCAAAAATGACAACAGCAAGAAGTAGCACCTCCCGAAAAATCAAATTAATTATATAAAATCTCAAAAAAGAAACAAAAAATCTGTACTGCTATAATCCAAGAAGTGTCTTGGATTCAATAGTTTGCAAGGAAGTATTGATTCTTGATGAACAGTGATGCAAAGAGATGATAGAATCAACTAGATCACTCTCAAATGTCAGATTTTCTTACGTAATTAATTAATTCACAGTATCTACTTCATAGAGGGTGGGTATGTCACAAGAGTAAAGAAGTAAGATTTGGCGCCTGAATAGAAACAAACGAGTCATGTAAAAATAAATATTTACTAGTAGGCCCATGCAAAAAATTCACACAGATTATTGTTTTCAAATGCCAAATTAATAAGAAAATAAAATAATGCAACTTATCAAAAAATAAAGAAATCAAATATTACTTTATCAATAAATATAATCGACAAAGAAAACAAAAAGACAGTACTACAATTAATGTAAGGTTGTGTGGATGCGAACCCTATTCCTTTAGTTATCTCGAAAATAGTACATTTTTGGGCTTAAAAACGCAGGATCCGATAGTTCAGGAGGAACGAGGTCTTGCTGTACGCATCAAAATATCCAAGATCCAATTTGTTCCGTATCGATCTACAGACCTACCACCGTTGCAGTATTGAAGCCTAGCAAAATGTTTGTATTGACTTCATTTATTTTAGAAAGAAAAACAAAAGTGGAGAATAAGATTCGCTAATCCCCCATGAAATTCTGAATCCAACGGTATCCGATTCATGATATTTGAGCATGACAGGAGCTTATATTTGGTACAAAACCGATTTCGAGCCTTACTGTAATAATATATGTGGGGATTATATTTTTATTTAAGCTGCTTAGCTTAGGCTATTTACAAGTTTTCAATGTTCAATAATAATACGTCTGAGTGAAGGACTGTAAAGGTTATGGAGTTCAAATGATTTTAATTTGGAGTTCAGTTAATTGAATGAGTTGAATAGTTCATCATCATGAAGGAACACCTAATCATGGTGTTTCTTCGAAGTTGGTACACTAGACTTTAAATATTTCAAACAAACTGTTGCACTGTGTTGTGATACTTATTTTATCTTAATCTTTCACTAAAATTATTTATATTATTACTAACATTAAAATAATTTCATTTAAGACATCATATTATTATAGTTTCTTCAGATAATCTGATTCGTAATATGAAATTCAAAAACAGTTGAGACTGTTTTATGAAAACAATGATACAAAATAGAAAACAAAAATAAAAAAGGATGATTTAATATGTATTTCAAGTCAATAAATGTATTCATGCACAAGAACATTTATGACAACATAGTATGTAGACAGAAACCTGATGACAGGCTATATTTAAATAAATATATTAATTATCATAGAAAAGAAGTAAACATGCTTTATACAGAATAGTTAGCACTTCTAATGCAACCCCATATAAGAAGAAAAGCATTAACATTATTAACCAGCATCATTAACTAGGTAGGGAAAAAGGATCCGGCCCCTGAAAGTTTTTTTTTTTTGAGAACATGGAAAAATTTTAAAACTTATTTAAAAATATGAAATTTAGCAAATTACTCACACTTGAAGTTACTACAACATTTATTGCGTGGTTTTGTCTCTGAGAAACCTCATTTCAAAGCTGAAATGTCATTTATAGAAAGTTTTTATTTTCACCGTAAGCCATGGCCTGCGTGAGTGATTTTTTAAAAATTTTATTTTCAGTTTCTAAGTATCTTGAAATGTAAAATCACTAATTTTGAGGAAGAGGAAGTTATTTTTTTTTTTGATTAATTAATTATGATTATTAAAAATAATAAACCATACTAGACTAATTTATTAAATACTTTTATGTATTATCACACGGTTCATTATCCTATTAATTAAATTAACTCTTTTTTTTAAACGTACTTCAGATGATAATATTTCAATATATATATTCTCACTCCTTGCCAGTACTTACATATTTTAATTAATCTTACACAATGTAATTCGTATTCACTTCTTTGTTTTTATTTTTTCAGAAATTAGCATACTATTTTTTATAAAATTAATATCTTATACATTTTTATAAATTTTCTGATTATACAAGATAACGTCTTTATCTTGTCTTTGCCGAGTCTTGATAAAGGCTGAGACATTAACATTAAGAAAAGAAATAATTTTTTCTGCAGTTCAAAAACTACAACTCCAACCAACTTCTCTTACTATAAGAATATGTAATATCAACCATTTCTCCACCATTATAAATTTTAAATAACAACATTCCATTTGAAATCTTCAATATTACAAATAAGGTAGTATATAATAGAGGTCAGAGAAGCGCTAACAACTGAAACTGTTTATTAGAGATTAAGAAACACCGACAGACAGAAGTAACAAAAGCCAAAGAGATGGAGAGCATGCATACCTGAAACCTTAATACCTTGATGGTTGGTTGAACTGTGATTGTACAGCGGCAGTTGCGGCAGTGCTAGCAGCTCCCCGCACGTGTTCGTTCTTCATGATTTCAGTAGTGAATTCTGCACGTGCTTTTGCCATACTTGCTCCAGAACTGCGATAAATTCTGTGAACCTATTAATAAACAAAATAGATAATACAGTAGAACATCGATTATTCAGAAAAGTCAATGGTACCTGTTAGGGAATAAATCAAAAGTGATATTTATTTTATAAATATTTAATAGTTCCACATTTTGTTGAAATATGCATATGTGATTAATTCTTGTTATAAAAAGTTTATAAGTCTAAAATCTCTGTTTAAAGTTTTGTAGTGAAATAAAAGTGAGTTTATTTCAAATACAGAGCACTTAACTTTATTTTATTTCGAACCTAAGGGATCAGTTTAACAAATATTCAATTTTTCTTTTCAACTCTGACATGATTAACTTTGCTATTTTAAAAAAAATGTTATATATGCTATATATATATATATATATATATATATATTTTTTTTTTTTAAATGTTGTTCGGTATATGAGAAGGATACCAATGCAAGGCGAGTTGCTACTAAGCTAAGCTCCACTATGCAATCGGTTATTATCCTCCTTATCCCCCACCCTCTTTTCCATCTACATTAATAACTTCCCTTCCTCTATCATACACTGTCAATATCACCTATACGCCGATGACATCTAAATTTATATTTCCTTCAACCCGACAGATTCCTCTAATGCCATCCTGAAACTGCAACAAGACATCAATAGAATATGCGCATGGGCAAATCTTAATAAGCTGACATTGAATTCGGAGAAGACAAAAGCCATCCTGATCGGATCCCCTCACTCCTCAAATCCATTTCAAAACCTCCTAATCTTCTTCTGAACAACTCACCTATCTCCTTCCATACCACCGTTTAAAACCTAGGCGTTACCCTCGATCAAAGCCTCTCCTGGAAACCACACATCTCCCAAATTTCCTGCCGTACTATACCCACCCTGAAACAGTTTAACCATCTACGTTATCTTCTTCCGTTCAAAACCCGTCAACTCCTGGTCTCCTCTCTTGTTTTCCCGCACTTCAACTATAGCTGCATGGTGTATGGTGGACTCTCGGGAGAACTCAAAGCCAAATTTGAACGTTTAATGAATTGCTCAATCTGCTTTATCTTCGGGATCTCAAGGGATACGCATATTACCCAGTTCTACACCAAGTTGAAGTGGCTTTATCCGTCCTACCGCCATCAATATTTCCTGGCTACCTTCCTATACCGAGCCATTACAACACGGCGACCTGCCTATATTCTACAGATCCTACAATTCAAACACTCCTTTCAATCCTGTCCCACCAGATCCCGTGCGTCCGACGTCTATCCTCCCCCTCACCGGACTGCTACATTTGATAAATCCTTTTTAATACAAGTTGTCTCCCTCTGGAACTCTATACCTTCAGATATTCGACACGCAAAATCGATATCCTCTTTCAAATCTCTCCTCTTCAAACACCTACTCCATACCCAATTGATCACAAAATGCACTTAAAACGTAAGCTGTAAAAACCTCAAAGTACACCTAATTCACTTAATTACTTTCTCTGTATATTTTATATTTACACGTATTTATATCATTTTATCATTTATAACTTTATTGTACTCCGAATCAACCTGTAAATATTAAATAGTATTTCATGGAAACACCAAAATATTAATATATATTCGGTATTTGTGACTTGTTCTAAAGGGACACTAGTCCCAGAATAATAAAATTATTTTCATTCACTATGCAATCGGTTGCCGACACCGTTTTGCTACCTTCAGCTCACCTCAGCTGCATTTTCGGTGGCCGGTCAGCCTAATCAAATTGTTCCATATCTCCAAGCAGACAAAAATACTATCATCACCACCGGTTCAGGATCTTTTTTTCTTGGCTTCTTTCTCTGAACCAAGTTCAGGTCTTCGGTTTGGGTATAATGTCCAAGCTAGCCTCTATTGAATTTTTTTTTACTAACTAACTCTGATGGCACTATGGTCCATGAAGGGCTCTGGCTCTTCCTATTTTACCAAGCGGGTGTCCCTCCATGTTTATTTTATTTTTATTTATTTATTTATTTTTTTATCTAGTATGCATTTTTAGCTTTGGTTGGGCCATATATTTTTTTCAGGATTAGGATAACTATCTTGTGAGTCCTTGTTCACAATGCCCTAATAACTAATTCTAGAGCCATATTAAATAAGGGGTATCCCTAATTCACTCCTTATTATATGGCAATGATTTTTTTTAAATTTATGTATTTATTAAAGAAACTATTTTAACGGTGCTAATGGATATTAAGTATAATTTTCACATAGTTTTAAGAGTGATCTAATTTCAGCATTATCCTTCAAAACTTAACATAGAACCATAATGAACATTAAGAAAACAAAACTATGAATTGAAGTTATAATAAGAACAATACACACCTTTGAGATCAGAATGAAATCGAGAAGAACGGCAGTTATAAATCCAAGTGTGACAGAGAGCATAAGCAAGCCGACGATAATACCTTTGGCACCACCAGCCTCAAATGTTGTTATAGTTTTAAACAGACCACTGAAAAGCATAAATTGCATAATATTAATTAATTTATTAATTAATTAAATATAACATTTTTAAAAAAATATTCACTGAGGTTAAATTTTTATTATTTTAAGTAAAAATATATACAATAAAAAAAAGAAAATAGTAAGTAGTTATGCTAATCTAGATAGAAAATGAGAACACGACCCATCTCATCCAGATTAAACGAAATTTGCTATAAATAGCAAATAATAAATTTTATAGTAATATTTTTTTTCTTATAAATAAACCTTTTCCTGAAACTTGATTTTATTTTTAATACTACATGATCTTTACATATATAGTTCCAAGATTTCGATCTATGAACTAAGATTGACAAAAGCAAACATCATGGGGATTATAATTATAACTCATGATATAACTCAAAAAAGCACAAACTTTAACATTTTTTAGTCCAGCAGCAGTGCAAGTTTGAATCCGACCTGGGAGGGTTGAAATTTATTTTGTGGCGGATAAATAGAATGAATATCGACCTTCCCACTCTAGCCAAAATCGGTTTAGTTGTACCTCTAGAACAACCCCTCCTTTCCCTATCCATATGCCATGGATAAGAGGGTAATCGAGGGGGAGGGGGAAAGATAGCTCATAAAAAAAAACTAACAAAAGCAAAAAGATAAAAAAGCTGGATGAAAAATAAAATATGAAGTTAGTAAGGAAAAACCTTAAACTTTAATTAAATTGAGGAATCAGTAATGAAATTAAATACACTTCAAACTACCCTTAAAAATTGCCTCTGATACTTTTTTCTATATATCAATTTTTTTTGACAGAAAATTCATATTCGTGATACATAGAGGTTCCATTATATTAATAAAATAAGCTATTACTTACCAGGAGCCACCACCAGTCGTTCCAAAGGCCATAACAGTAGTAACAAGCATTTGAAATGCAAATATAAAAAAGAAAACCATAAAACTGAAAGAACTGTCATCCCTGTAAAAAAAAATTATACAATCTTATTAATTTTTAATGACTTCAAAAACAATAATAGATTAATAGTAATATTTCATAATATATAAGAAAAATATTTAAAAAAGAGATAGTATATATTGAGGGCTACAAAACAGTTTTTACATACAATGGTCTGATATCCTTCAGAAAACTGAAGTTTTGTGTTTTTTAGAGGTGGGGTGGCCAAGCGGGCTAATGCATGGGCACAGCACCGTGCATTGCTTGGCAAACCGGATCAAAGATAATTAGATAAAAATAACTACAAGTTCGCTTCCCGGTGTCCATGGGGGCTTTTAGCTCGGGTATTGATCCCCCGCCCTCACCATCTGTACTGGGAAAACCAAATATAGCCTAAAAGATGAGGAAGGGGAGCATTACAAAATAAATAAAATTTGTGTTTATAAAGTGTCACAATTTTTGTTGAATAAGAAGTGATAACTAAAACAATATTTAACTTAGGTAATTAAAAATTAGGGACAAGGTGGTCAACCTGATAACCGAAGTTATAAATGATAAAATAATTGCTTTTAACTTGGCATTAATCTTCCACCCTCACCTTCCATCTTCCACCTACCCCTAGTCCAGAAAAAAACCGTATAGCCTAAAAAGCGAGAACAAAAAAAAATCTAATTAACAATTACTTCACAGCAAATTAAACAAAATTACGTTTAAATACAAGTAAAATTTGTCTTTTTGATTAACTATTGATAGGGACGACTTTTAAGTGGCTAAATTACACTATATTTGTACATCAGTACATTCACAATTTTGTCTCATCACTCTCTGACTAATACAGATGCCCCACTTTAAAAAAAAAAAACTCCCTTGTGTATGCTTTAGACCATATTAATCAAGTTGAGGTTTGTTGAAGATTAAGTTAAGATTCTATTCCTCTAATTTAATGAAAAACATCAAGTGATTTGATATTGTCATCCCGAAGCTCCCTTTTTTATGATTTAATTCTTTTTCAATGGGCTAATTACAAAAAAAAAAAAAATACCTAATAAAAAAAAATACTACTTTTTCAAAAATGTTTCGCCTATAGTGAAACAGCTTTATAATAGGAATGATATCTTATTGTATCATTTATATCTTCTATGTTTAGTAAAACTATTATTCATTGGATATTCATTTGTCTGATTAATAGCTATTCTTAAAATAAAAATCTCATTTCTTGTAAACAATTGCTTCTAAGAAAAATTTTTTTTACTGAAATAGGATTAACTTCCTTGAATTTATAAATGTTCCAACATTGCATCAGAATATAACTTTCATTAATAAAAGATTATCAACAAAAATTTGCAAATAATCAATGATTTTTTGAAAAACAAAATTTAGTGTCGTTTAAGCTGCTTAAAAGCCCTTTTTAAATGATTTTAAAAACAACAAATTCTCCTTGAATTTGAAGGAAATTTTGTCTAATTTACTGTGAAGCCATTGATAATTGCATAAATGTAATATTATTTTGGTTATAGCTTCCTGATCAACAAAAATACATGAATTACTTTAAAAACATAAAACTTAATTTTTTTATTTTTTAGAAAAGAAATCAGACCATGGTTATAATTAGTCTATTGTATATATGTATATATATATTTTTAACATTTACAGATAGATTTTAAAAAACAGTACAACAATCTATGATTTGAAAGGGAAAAAAAAAACGATGGATATATATATTGAAATATGTATGTAGATTTATGCAGAATCCTGGTGAGAATTGTTAATATAAGATATATTGTTGTACACACATGTATGTTCATTTTGTAGATGCATATAGTGCAAAGCACTGAAGGCTTCTTGAAGTTATATAATAAATTTGATGATGAGTGAAATGTATATAATAAATGAAAAATAATAATCAGTTAACAGATAATAATAACTACAAAAAAAAAGTATCAAAAATTAACATGAAAAATTAGAGAAATTTTCTTACCTAAATGCCTTATATCCAGGTCGATACCAGCACACAAATGAAAAAGGAGTTAGTATTACAGTATACAGCATAGATAATCCAAATGTTTCAATGTCTGCATAGGTAATGACTCGTATCAGGGCGATAAACATATTGGCCAGCAACAACAGGAAATGGACTGTTATAAACAAAGGAAACAAGATTTATTAACTATTGCAATTGGATACATATGGAACCTATAATAATGTGAAAATAAAAGTAATAAGATATTAAAGATCTGGCCATAGATGGCAATCTATAAACATCTGCTCTCCCCTTACAATCACTAATAATAATATCAATTCATTTCAAAATAACAAAGAAGTTATCACATAACCATACAGTTTTTTGAATTATAGGAAACAAAATGATCTACAAAATCTACTTTATTGGATTGAGAGCAGATTGAATTGTTGACAGATTTACGATAAGAGAATACGTTTTATTTAAAAACCAAATAAAGTTAATAAAAGTACCGATAAATAAATGCATTTGATTAGACTGAGGGAATAGAGCCCACCCCGACTCTTCAGATGGAGAAGAGGACTCTACATTATTCTGTACGATACGGCTTTCTAAAACGCCAATGAAGCCTATATTATTCCAACTAACTGACTCATTGTTAATAATAGCAATTGATGGTTATGGATTTAAAAATAAAAGAGGGGAAAAAAAAAGAACAAAATATAATTAACACAACAGATAAAATTTTACTTACAAATCCATAGGTTGTACATCTGCCTCACAACTGACTGGAAATCAACAGGTATATCAACGTTGATATCTTGATAGAAGCAAGGCTCTAAACCACAAGAGTTAGAAGGAAGTGGAGGCCAGTTGTTTTTCCTAACTAAATAAAAATAACAATAATAACATATATTGCATAGCTTAAGAGTTAGATTAGTTAGCTGACAATGTAATGACAACACAAATTATAATTTATTTTATAAAATAAAGAATAATTGATGTGGTAGATATTTTAATAAAACCTAACCATTATATGTGTTATTTCGAAGTTCTTCTTCTCTTCGTTGTAATTCTGCTGCTTTCCGTTCAAGTTCTTCTTGTCTCCTCTATAAAAAAAAAAGTTAAAAAAGAGTTAGGAAAATATTTATACAGTAAAAAGTTAAAGTAAAGTAAAATACTTGCACTTGATGCATACTTACGTCCAAAGCTGCCTTTATGAAAGTGTGCAATAAAAAAAAACAATAAATTAGTTTTATAAGATTGATAAAGGGATTAATTATAAGATAAAATTTACTAATGAAAATTAGATAACTAGTTTCAATGTAATCCAAAGGAAAGAATATTAGTATAGCAGTACATTTTGTACCAGCATATAAAATTGGTGAAGTAGATGAATTTTGAATAATCTCGACATTCTTTGCAATTATCATAATTTACGTTTCAAACATTGAAGACTATTTTTATTGTGGGCTTTCCATTCAATAAATATTTGATATTGAAAGTATTATAAAACCAAATAAAATTTTTTCGATAACATCAAATATTTTCTTCAATAATATTATTTTATGATAAATTAATATTTTTTTAATATATTCAGTAAGAAAAATTCATATTTCTATTTTATTTTATTTTCTGGTGTGTATACATTTTTTTCTTTTAAACTCAATAAAAATGGACTCTAACTCTGGTCAAATTTTATAAGTGTGTTAAAATTATTTAATACTTTTATTCTTCAAGTATATATTTATTGAAAATACAAATTTATTAACTAAAAATCTGGTGCACACAACTTTCAATTGCCGCTATACTTAGAATAAAATTATTTTCTGGCAAAGTTGGACTATTATCAACTTTTTTTTTTTTTTTTAACTTTTATTATGATATTTACAACTGTATTAGTATGAATACATCAAGTAAATGTGTACATAGGAATATTATGACATGAAACACGCTTGTTGAGAAACTACCCATTGGTAGCACTCCAATCAAATATTTAAAATGGATTTTTAACAAAGCTACAGTTTAAAGCTTACAGCTAACAAATCATTTAGACCATTATAATAACGAAAACCCTATCAATTATATCAATGGTAGACAGTAAAAACTTCAATACTTCATTTGTTTTTGTAAACCACATAAATCCTGTCTCTGAGCTATATATCTACGTATAGGTCTAGAGAGATTTGAAAGAGTACATTTAACCTACAAATGATTGTGGATTGTACACCTATTAGTAATTAAACGTTAGTTTCCATTGTAAAGTTTACTAAAATGAAATTATGAGATTTTCATTGCCTGCCATAGATTAAAGTTGTCAAACAAATTTTAAGTATATAATGTTGGGATTTTCCAAAGGAAAAATTCATCTAATTATTCACTAATTTAATTTTCTGAAAGGTTGCATAACAATTTTTCAGAATTAACAGACGTTGATTTCTAATTATTTAAATATAATATCAGATCTAGAATTATTAAAATACGGAAAATGTAATTAAGGTTATAAACATATGTTGGTACTGTTTCATTAGCAGTGCGAGACTGACTGCTATCTGCCAATGTTTATAACCTGAACACTGACAATTCCGATAAGGCAGTGATAAGCCTTCTCATACTAATACTTTGATATTAATGATTAATTATCTCGTATGCGTTGGGATTGTGCATAAGATTCTTTTCCAGGCTTAGGTATATAACAAACTCTTACTTCCCTACACTTATTGGGATAGATATATGCAAGTGCTAAACTACCTCTAAATAATTTCAGAAGGTAGGGTTTAATTACAGGTAGACCGTTTTGCAAAAAGGTGGTGGGAAAACCCCATCAGTACCAGCTCATTTGAACAGTGCTTAAGAGCTCCATTTAACAGCTCATAGCGTGTCGTTCATGTCCCTGTAAAAGCTTCTCCATGATTTTTTGTCCTGCCTATAGCCTTACTGTATTGAGTGAGAACACACTTATGAGTATCCCATCTACCTATGCATTTGGCAGCATTACAGATTTTTCTAGTTAATATTTTTTTGGTCCTTCCTCCCCTTCCTCGCCTTTAATGTTACAGGGTTTTGTCGCGCTAGGGAGTGAGGGCAGAGATTTAAATGGCTCCCCTGGCACCGGGATGCGCACTCGTGACTATTTTCATCTAGTAATCTCATGCATCAGGTTGCCAAGCAACGGTGGTGATGTGCACACTTGTTAGACCATTGGGCCACCCCGCACACGTATTGATCATTGTAAGAACTTGGATGGGTGAATGCCCGAGTCAGGTGACAACCCGTTGAAGAAACGCATCCCTCCTGAGATTCTTCTAAAGTTTATCCCCTTGGTATCACTAGCCTATAACCCAAGTCGTTTGGTGGGAGAACACTACCAAATTGACACCAAATTTAGTAAGCTTGTTGCTGCACCATGGAAACAATGGTTTTTAGGAGAGGTTAGGTAATTCATTTTTTTCAGATCGCAAAGCAGGCAAAAATAGATGATTAAGTTAAGCAACATCGAGAGTGGTAAGAATTTGGATGGATGAATGTCTGAATCAGGTGATTAACTGCTAAAGATAGGCACACCACCAACCAATTGGCCCCAAATTTAGTAAACTTGTTGCTACACCATGGAAACAACGGTTCTTAGGAGACCCTAAGCTGCCTGCACCTCTAGAAGCAATATGCCTGTAAGAAAACTACAACAAAAAATTAGGAAGAATCCTTGATCTTATATTTTATTTTTGGTTATTCTGAATAATTTATTAATTCTTCCTCTCCCTATCTTTTAGATTCCAGTTCAGTTCTGGAAACATAATACTGTAAAGTAATTTACTATTTTAAGCTATTAAAATAGATTTGGCATTTAATATGAATAAAACTGGTTAATTTGTATGATAAATGTGTACCTGAAAATCAGCAGGAGTCATATTAACAGCTGCATTAGCAGATGGAGCTGCCGCTGTCGTTCTAGTATAAGGAGGGGGAGGTTCTTGGGTGGCTGGCATGACAGCCGGCTCCTTTCTCTCTCCGCCAGTTCGAATCTGAAATTACAACAATTAAACTATAAATGAACTGTAATAAATAATAAAATAGTAATGGATTAATGGACACATAAATGGGCGGGTCAGAGTGGCTTCTCATAATTAAGATGGAGCATAAGGTAATTAAAAAGTTAACCACAGCCGAGCGAGTTCACCACTAAATAGTGACCACTCTAATTGGAGAACAACATTCCTTAAGATAATTACTTAACTATTATGTTTACAACAGGAAACAAATAAATAAATAGAAATACCAAAAATAAAACAATAATTAATGTGAGCCTTATACTTATGCAGTGATATTCTTTAGTAAATGTTTACTTTGACATTAAAAAGGATAAGCAGCAATAAAAACAACCAAACTAAAGTGCAATCTGAGTAACCCTAACACACCAATAATTGTAACAAAAAACACTACTGTAAGATGGGGATGGGGAAACTTTGGGACAGCGGGTAAAATTTAGTTTGTGGTGATTTCGTGGTGGATAAACTGTGTTGGTTCATTTTGCAAAAACGTGTATGTATAGGCATGTACTGTGGCTGTACCTTACGGCAATTTGAGAACCCTAGTTCACTACACTTGTAGTACAGCTAGGTTTTATTTATTTCCATTGTACTTTCAAAATTCTTGTTTTCATGAAAATTTTGCTTATGCCTCAAGAATTGTGAACATTAGATTATCTTCGGGTGTGTATACACATTAATTAGTACATTCTGCAGTGTTAAATATTGAAGTAATCATGTTATCGTAAATACTTTGTTTCATAACCTGTAAATTGTAAATTTTGACGTGTCACCATATGGTCTGCACATTATGTTTTGTTTTATTTGCATTAGTTCGGTTTTTCATGATTTTATTGGACAATGCTTAGAAATCCTAAAAGATCTCTTGGCACAAAGCCATACAAAAATTACCATGAAGAAGCCTTTTTACAAAGAATTAAAATGAAAATTACAAGACTTTCTAGCAATAAGAAATAAGAAACTATCCAAAATGGCGCCTCCAAGTATGGAATACCGAAAAATACACTGCATCTGAAATCCCAAGGAAAACATACTAATTTTTTGGTCAGGCTACAGTGATTTCAACGGAAGAAGAGGAATAGATGGTAGTATGTGTTACCATGTCAAAGCAAGGATTTCCAGTCAACACACTGTGTTATAAAATCGTGTCTAGATAGATAGATAGGCCTATAGTTTAAAAAATTAGGATTTGCAATCTTTTTGTTCCATTAATATGAATTTATTGTTCTTATGTTCTCTAAAATATAGTACTGTTGGGTAAAATTGGTACACACTCATTTCCTTGTTGTTTTTTTTAATGTAAATAATGAGCCTATACAATATTATGGTGTAACATTGGTACAAAGTCATGTTTCCTGCAGTTTCTAATGCACTGTCCCAATTTTACTCCAATTAATGGGATAATATTAGGACAATTTTATATTTTTTTGTAGTAAAATATTGTTGTTTCTATAGTTATTATTCTGCCATATTTTGTAAGAGGAAGAGTGACTTTACATATTTATAATTTTTCAGCATTTTAACTTTGAAAAGTGTCCCTAAGTTACCCCATCCTAGATATGTCTAGTCAAATTATGCATGAAATTATTAAATATAGTTACATCAAACTTGATACATACTATGATACTAAGATACTAAGATTGAACAGTATCATGCAAAACTGACAATCAACAGATATACACTACCCAAATACAGAAAACGTTCCAATTATGATTATTATAACATCAACATTAAAATTAGTTTAAAATCTAGAATAATCAGTTATTGTAAAAGAAATAAAATAATAAAATGTAATCACTACTAGATGGAACCAAGTGAATAAAATTCAACAATCACATCAGATACAAACATTTACAAAAAAAAAAAAGTATAATTAAAAAGTAAAACCAATAATAAATAAAATAAAACTCAATAATATAATTAAATAACAAATAAAGATTCAACTGATATTAAGTAAACAGCAATTTATTAATTTTCATAGACTATGTGAAGGCAGTATAGATTTTATATGAGCAAATGTTAAGTTAATATTTTCATCGAAACAACTTAAAAAAAAATAATTAATGATAATTGTTTAACTTCAAATAATATTATTTAAATAAAAATTGTAAGATAAACTTCATTTCATCACTGAAGCAATATAGTAGATACCCTCTCAACCAGTCCCAGAAAAAAACAGTTTAATCATACATAGAGTTGGATTATGAGAGAAGCTGGTTATAGATGTTAAAAAAAAAAACAATAATAAAGATTCAATCCAATGAAGACTCCTTTCAAACCTAATGGTAGGATGGAAAAATCATGCTGAAAGATGAAGCTATCTACACAGTCAACGAAATTAAAATATTAAAAGGAATATGAAGAGGTTGGGTAAGCCCATTACAGTTCTGTACGACGCTGTCCCCATCAAGTAGGATACTTCGTAGGAATAAGGTAGGGTACTTATCATCAACAAAGAAGTGAGCAGTCAGCCACATTGGTATATAGATCACATCGAACTATACATAAAAAACAAAGAACAGTTTTAAAATATGGAAAAGCCTTTTCATCTTTTACTAATGAGATAGGAATATAATTCATCCTTGATAAATGTGGGGTGCTCCATGTAATCAAGTAGGAAGTGGTAGGTATTGTGGTTCGTTAGTAGTATAGAATATTCTGATCAAAGAAGAAGATACATCAAGGAACTAGAAGCCAATAAATTATATGAATGTTTGGTAATGAAACAGCACATTAAAATTCCCCAAAAGGATATGGAACAAGAACTTCTAACAATGTTCAAAATTAGGTTAATATTATGATGAAGACTCTAACTGAGAAGCGAAAAATACAGACCATGAACACCTGGGCTTTACCTACTCTGAGTTATAACTTCAGCATATAGCATATTGCATTGGTCAAACACCAGTCCAAAGAAAATGGATCGTCTTGAATGGAGGCACTACCCAACATTTTCCAAAGCTCGTCTATTCATATACGAAAAAAGGAGGGTGTGATTTGCTAAATATCGAGGACGTGGCCATACGCCAATATTTTCTCACAGAAACAACAAAGATTTATCTTGCAATCTCAAGGATGTATACTGGTCTAATTGCACTTAATCTGAGCAAAAATGACAAACTCTACTATTGTGTCAAAATGTGAATGGTTGACAGAATGTAAATACAAGTCTCAAAGTTAAAAGTTAAAAGCTGGAAAGTTATTCTCCAAAACAGAAGGATTTTTAATCACCATTCAAGACCTAATATCATCTATACATCATATAGAAGACATGCTCTTAAAGAGGCAACAAAATCAGATAAATGTTGATTATGTTCAGTGACACTGGAATCAACCAAAATATCACAGATTGATGTACAGTGTTAGCTGAAACCGAGTATCTCCAGAGGTATAACAATGTGACCTAATTTTTCCATCAGTCCCTGGAGGTTAAATTCAACTTATTAAATAACGTGGAATATTATAAATCCCACCTGAATAGGCTCCTTCAAACAGATGCCACCAATTGGAGGGAATTAATTATCATGACCCACCATTATGACCGGTATCTGGATCCCCAAAGATAATAATATAAGCGCCACTCTGGAAGAAAATATCAGGCGATCAAAGTGGTAGCCATGAAAGGTTTAAAATTACCCATTGCTGTGCTAAGAAAGGCTCAATGGTCAGTTCTCATAGACACAGCGCGTATTGTCAGAAAATTTTTAAATGCTGGAAAAAATTAATATGAACTCCCACCTCAGATCGCAAATGTGAGAAAACAGTTAATAATACTACATACGACTACAATGGATTATAACAAAATGAAAAGAAATATATAAAGTATACTTGTCTATAGAGTGGATGTCTAAGGAAAGCGAACTTTCATCTGTAATGCAGAAGTTTCAGTTTTAGTGAAACTGGAATGAAAAGAAATAATAAGATCAGTAAAATTAGAGGATTAAAAATTTTACTTAATGAACCTGTTATCCATCTGTTAACTGATTTCCGAATTCCACTTATAGCATCATCGTGGGATGGACAACACTTGTAAAATAGAATCCTATAGTGATCAATACCAAATGAAATAAACTACATAAATATCTATTATCAACATATATATATATATATTTTTAGATATATATATATATTTATACATATATATATTATATATATATATTTTTTTTTTTTGTTTTCCAGCAAGTAAAGATGTAGGAATAAGAGCTTACGGTGGGTAAGATAACAATAAACATTCTGAATAAGCAACTTTTTCCCACTCAACTACTTGACGTGTCCCCTAAATATTTATAATTAAACTTATATTTTTGGCGTTCTAAAGTGGTCTAATACGGAGCTAGAGGAAATGAATCAGTCAGTAAGGGATCTTTTAACCTCAGCCATAAAACAACATCTTAAAGTCTTCAATCGAGAGGTTGTACTTGTCTCGGAAGAAAGAAGGAAGGAGACTTGTCTCTTTATTAAGAAGCTGAAGAAAACAAGAAAATAATTTAAGAGCCACTTTTCAACTAAGAAACTCCACTGCATGATAAGCAATAAAGTCATTGGGTAATGCCTATACAGCTTTAAACTTAGTTTCTTTAAACTTAGTTAGCTTTAAACTGCACATAAAGAGGTTCCTACTGAAGAAAGTCTGATCAAAAGTTGGAAAAGTAAAGCATTACATGGACACTTTTACAATTCTGTCTCAATCAGGAATGAACTGCAATGCATCTATTAATTGGCTTAAAAAAGGTACCTATTTCCTGTAACTGAAGGCAATTTTGGTAATTCAGAACCAGGTAATTTCCACCGATGCCTATAGGAAATATATATGAGAGGAAGACATAAGTGATCGATGTTGCCTATGTAAATATGCAAGAGTCAATCCAGCATATACCATCAGAATGTCAAGCACTGGCAGGTAAATATCTAATGAGACTCAATTACATGGCAAAGTATGTCCACCAAGCCTTGCCTCATTATATAATATGATAGATTACCAGGTTCCTTATTATCGGCATGAGTCCAAACCGGAACTGAATGGTGAAAATAGAACATTATATTGGGACCGTTCTACAATTACAGACAACAGTGTGTTAAACAATAAACTGGATATAGTATCAAATGACCAAAAGACAAAAAATGGTAATGTCATTGATATTATGGTTACTAACAATGATAATGTTAGAAAGATGATATTAGAGAAGATAAGAAAACATAAATATTGAATCACGTACAGATATATCCGGTTGAAATATCCGTAATAAAAAAAAAAAAATTTAATTATACAAGTGACACAAATGGATTAAATGGTCACTTTCTCATACACATATACCTGGTTGGCTAAAAGGATATCCACTACTTTAAAGTGATAAATAATACAATTATGCTACATCAAAATAACGATTAATAATGAACTTCAAATAATAAAGTGTTTAATCTTGACATAATTGTAACAACTTAAAAATAATTCCATTTAATATTAAATTATATAAATATTAAATAATCAAAATCAATTACAAAATAAATCAGAAATAGTTTCAAAACTGTGTCATAAAACACAACATAACAATTGATTAATTATTAAAAAAATTAAGGTCACAATTAAATTAGTCCAAATGTAGACATAATTTAAATTATTGCAAAGTAAAATCATATTAATATTTATTAACAAATGGTAATATAATCTATGATACTTAAATAATTTCAATAAAAAGGAATCATTTTAATCATCCTTAGTACCTTTCCTTTTAATAACGAGCTAGTTAGGTACTAGAATTAAGAATACATCAACAAACAAACCAGTCAGAAAGGGGTTCTGAGGAATGTTGAAAATAAATGAATGAATAAGTTAAAATATTATATTTTAGGTAAATAAAATACAGAAAACATCCTCTAATCTTGCACATTCATGATTGATAAAAATATTATTTTTTTTTTTAATTTTGCCAACCAAATTATCCAGCTATGACTATAGGATTGATGTATTAAATGAAGTTTAGTGTATCATAGTACGGGTATTCATGCAGTTGTAAATGCTTAATGTGCTATCATGTTAAGGAGTCAGCACAAATTTTGAATGAATGGTAAATAAAGTGTCCGTGCTGACATGCTAAAATGTTATCAGTTGTAGTGAGATTATGCCTGTACTGTAAACAAAGTTTGTGAGTTCTTAACTGATCAACTAACATTTTGATTTATTTTTAAAATGCCAAAGCGAAGAGAAAAGTCAGAGTTGCTGGATTATTTGATTACACATGCTTTATTAGAAAGCATGAACGAAGATTCAGAAGGCAAAGAACTTGACGTATACATAGATGAAATCTTAGCTGTCAATGGGATACAGTATAAATTTTCTTCCCAGATCACAGAAGAAAACTTCTGATTGGCACAACAAGGTGTAGCCACAGATGGATGATACTAGATTCAGGCAGATGTTGAGGACTGATAAATACCAATTTAATTTTATATTAAAAGAAATTAAAGACCATCTTGTTTTTCCACCAAGGCAATATCCTATTTCCATTTCTGTGGATACTGTGCGCGAACAAAGAATCAAACACATCAAAAACTTACAATAACCTTCTCCATGCGTTTACGAAGTTAGCACCACTTTACAGGACCCTAGACTCCATTCAAATCGAGAGTGCTAGCGGCAATTTATGAATTATTAAGTAAAATTACATTTAACAATAAATTACAAATAACTATAATTACGGAGCTAATCCATCCAATAAAAATAATAGGGATAAAAATGAGAAAATAGATTACAAGTTAACAGTACCAACATTCTGGCGGGTGTAAGGTGAAGAGGATAGAGGGGAGAGGCTTTCAGTTTGAAGCCCCCTTCCAAAATAGAATACTTTTTATGATCCATTAGTCCATATTAGCTTTTGTAAATGATCTAAGCTTAGTACTAAAACAACTACTATTTTTAAGTTACAAAAAGCTATTCAAGGTAATAATCTGCCAATAAAAAATTCGGTCCCTAAAAGCATATTTATTTTTATTTACAAGCCTTCAAGGACCACTCAAAGATCAGTTTATTTATTTACTTTCCTTATCTTCCAGACTAATAGTCATTAAAAAATAAATAAACCTCCAAAAACTAAATCCTGAATTTGCTACTGGACCAACTTAATAATACAACAATAAAAATTATAAGTATATATAAGTGGCTTAATATCAAAGATGGACATTTGTCATTTTTAAAAAGACAATTTTTCTAACAAAGCTTCAATTTTAACCGATTCTAATGATCATGTTTCATTATTCAATTTGAAAATTCTTTAATAGAATCATCATCATAAATAGTTTGAGTTGAATCTATAAATCAAAAATCGACTTTTTCTCCACATTCTGAAAATTAAATATGTCCGTCTTAGAAATGAGGCCACCCATATAATAGTTAACAATATACCAATTAACAATTAACAAATTTGTTAAACATTTTAATAAATTGTTAATAAATAACTCATTAATAAATTCATAATAAGGAAGTTCTATGGTAGAGACACAAACAGTTTTAAAAAATGTATGAAAGGAAAATGGGAGCTGATGTCATAGCAGTCGGCAACATTTGATTGTTTTGGCATTCCATGAACAAGTGTGAACAAAGTGATTGTAAACCACACTTAATCCGTGTGGAACTCTGGTTAACCAGTACCATAAAACCAATGGCTATCAATATAAAACTTTTAGTTAATTTAAAATTTTAAAGAAATAACTAAATAGACTAACACAAGGTTGCTATGGAGTTATTAAAAAGATAATTTTGTTTTCAAAATAATAAAATATTAAAAGAAAAAACAAACTAAGGATTTCATACATAACAAAATCAATTTAAAAAATAATAAGGACTACTGCCAATTTACAAGTTTATACTTGTTGATCTATGGAAATGATTTAATGATTGATAAAGAACAATAAATAAATGTACCGAAATATAATCATGAATAACATAAGGAATAAAATGAAATTTTAAAAAACTCAAGTCAAGCAACTATGAATCATTTGTGATAACCATGACATACAAGATCGACTGAAACTTCAATGATATACAAATCAATATTATTTAAAACAAAACAAAACAAAATAAAATTACAAAACTAGAAATTGTATACATTCAATAAATTTTACTAGTTGTTATAACAATCAGTAAGACATTAAGCACATTAGTCAATCAATAAAGCTCTAAAACATGTTTTGCAATATTTTATTAGGATAAATTAGATACTTCAATTGTTTAGTTTTAGTTTTTGTATTGAAGAAAAAGAAACTCAAATATTTTAATAATGAAGTTATCTATTTAAAGATATTTATTTTTTTAATTCATAACCTTATATAATAATGACAAAACCAAAAGTAAATGACTCATCGCATCCACCACAACATAACTCATATACTGCATTTGTGAGTTGTTTCGCTTTCCTTATAAGGATGCGATATAATGAAGAGAATAAACAGGACAACATAAAGCAATCATACGTCATTCTGGTACACATTAAAACATTAACAATCATACAACACAAAAATATTTACTTATTAATTATAATAATAGTAAAATTAGTGAGACAAAATGCTTGCAGCCATTTTTAAATATCTTCTTGATTAAATTTTAATCATCAGATTCAAAAAAAAAAAAAAAAAAAAAAAAAAAGCAATGCATTCAGCTTATCAACTACAATAATGTAATAAAAAATAAAATTATAATTTATTTAAAGTTACTTTACAAAACTCATAACAAAAAACATAAAACAATAGTCAATGTATAACAATTTACTCTTATAATTTAAAAAGTATCCAGGATGTAACGTACAGCATTTACAGCAGGTGGAGATGGTTGGTCCGCAAAAGGATTATATTCTTCTAGACCTCTCTGAACACTACTTGTCTGTTTTGTAACTTGTTGAACGGCAGGATCCTAATATACAACAAAGTTTACAAGTTTCAGGCCATAAATATGGACTTTTAAAAAATGTATATTAAATTAAATATCAATATTACATATATTAAATTAATATATATTTGAATTTAAGAAGAAGAAAATAAGAAATAGAATAAGAAAAAATAGAAATAGGACCATAAATAAAATAGAAAAAAAAAATTAAAATGCAATTATAAAACAACAATATAGCCAAAATTATATTCTGTTTCATCATATGAGCTACGAAAGTGCTGAAGATCCAGTTTTGATACGTGGATTAGTACATAATATTATGAAAACATAAATGTATATAACCTGAAAACTGACTTAAGACTTATCAATTGCTGTAAAAAAATAAATTTCCTATTAACATCAATTCAGTTCCAAGAAAGTAGTTTTAGTATAAAAACAAGGAACTTAAGAGTTAACCACTGTCCTTCTGGACAAATCTTTTTAAAATATTGACATAATGTCAACATAACCTCATAAGTCATTATTATTAGCACTTGCGAAGATTTGCAAGTATATTGTCATCAGAATAAAAAATTATTTCATAGTTGGATGAGAGGCTTATATTACATTCATTGAAAACAACGCAATGGTTAAGGGTAGAGAACTTATCAAATGTTTTAGTAATTAGTAAACTTCACCACTTACATATTAAAGAGCTCATATCTATATAAGATTCATATTAATTTGGGAAAAAAAAGTTCTTTAGAAAACTCCCCAAAATGAATAAAAGTGTAATTTTAAATAACACTTAAGTAAAACTAATGCATTAACAGCCCTAAATAAAATTATATTGAATCATTTTACAAATTGATGAGTCATAAGAAATATTTCTTTCTAAACCCAAATTTTGTTATTTATATTTAAAGTACACTATGGAAAAATATATATCTACCATCGTTAAATTGTACTTACTGCAAAAGGGTTGTCTACGGTTGGAGGACTAAAAGGGTTGACTACATCATCAAATCCAGACATTTTGGGTGAATGAATGGCAATACCTGAATTAATAGTTAATCAACAGACAAGAAACTAAATGTTGTAAAGAATTTCATAAATATAACACATTTCTCCGTCACACGGCACTTAAACTTCTAAATACACAAAATGACGTAACAATTCTGGTAGGCTCTCCTGTCTGTTACTTCAAACAACTGCCATTATGATAACGCTCAGTGTTACCATCTTAATGCTGATTACCTGTGAACACAATAATAAATTGAGTGAAAGCATACTATTTATAATATAATATAACTTAATATTTTCACATAGAGTTTTGATTTTAAATTGTAAAAAAATAGTATCCAATTCATTTATCTTTTATTAAAATGTTATATGGCAGTCCACAGAATTGAATTGATTAAGTCTGATAACTAGGGTTGCCAGATTGAGTTTCCTCCGAGATATAGGTTTTTTAAACCATATTTTGTTTAGGATAAGAAGGTATTTTTTTTAATGATTTGTATCTACCGTTAAATGCAAATGCCTATGATCTACAGTATATTTCAGATCAAAAGATAGGACCAACACTTATCTTAGTATAGACGATTAAATCATCATGATCTTATCAATCGTTCTTCAGATCCTTTCCCTTCCTCTTTGGACCATTTATAGAATAGTGAGGCCTCAAAATAAAGGAGCTAGTTCCCTTGCATCCTCTTCATTGAAGTGAGAATTTCTTTCTCTACTTGTTCTTATGCTATGTATATCATCATCTTGGAGAATTCTCTGGCATCTCTAGGACTTCCTGCCAAATGATCAGGATTCCGTAATCTTTCTGGTTTTCCATTTCTCATCTATGCAACCACTGATGAGCTGTCGCTTTTATAGAGGGGAATTTGGTTCAGAAACGTATAGCTTTTGTACCCTTACACTAACTTCGAAACGGTCAGCTACAGTGATGCTATTAATGAGCTTGTAAAGTACATTATCCCACTTTTAAATTTCATATGTAAGTATTGGTAAGCGAATAACTCTGTAAATGTGAAGCTTTGTTGCTTTCTGTACATTCTAGTGACCAATTATACTATCACAGATTTTTTTGTAGAAAAATGTTTGTTCACAATTTATGAATATTTTAAAGTTAATTTTATTGTATAAAAATGTTATATTAAATTGTATACATACAATCATTATTCAATTTAAACAAAATATTTTTACAACAGACTATGGTTTTCTATTAGTTTTAAGTACAAACAATCATCTAATTATTTTTTTTTTTTTTTTTTGGTGTGAGGTCTAGGCCTTTGAACATCAGTCATTTTTGTTCAGACCAGCCGAATATGAAGGATGGACCTTGCGTCAGCCACCACATCATCTTCCCAACACAGTTTGGGTCTTCCAGTTGACCTTCAAGTGCCCATCCCCCCAAGGTCGATGGCGCCTGAACCTCTCCCCAAGATGTTTTATTGCTCTCTTCTTCAAAACATTAGAAATAAAAGTACCGTAAATGATATTACACTTGCTGAGATTTGTTCCACATATTCCCTTTGTCTCTTTGTTTGAAACCTCTCAACCCAAACATTCATAAGTCCGTCGAAATGTGCCCCTCTCAAAAATTTTTATGGCGCAACTTGCGCCATGAAACCCCTTCGTAGGCACCTCTGGCCAGCAGGCATCCTATTCGCATGGCCTGTCCAGCGGAATCGACCAATGTTAATAAATCTAACCATTATCCTGTAAAAGTTCCTGCAGTTCTGTATTGGTTCTCTGCCTCCACCCTTGGTTCACACAGACTGGGCCAAATATTCTACGGTGGGTTCGGTGTTCGAATCGTAGTATGACCTGCTCATTCAATTCTGAAATTAAGACTTATTTTTTAATATTTTTTTTTTAACTTATTAAAAAATATTGAACTTTAATTTCTTTTATATCTCATTTATTGTTTTTTTAATTTTTATATCTCATTTACATAGCTTATGTATAATTTTATTGAACTTTTGTTATAATTTTTAAATATTAGTACAACGATTAGTCATCCCTGGGGTGTTTCTTCTATTTATCGTCGCGCTGTATTTCTTGTTTACATTAATCATTTATATCTAATCATTTAAAGGGAGTGGGGGAATGGAGTTTTATAAATAACTTACGAAAGCTGAGGAAAAGCTTGTCTTCAAACACTATTACATAATATTAGATTCCTCATTACATATTATATTAACGGACATTATATAATTTAGTACGTTAACAATTACAATAAATAATTTTCTTTTTACAAATAATACTTAATTATCCATTTTCAATTCAATTGATAGATAAAGATACAATATTCTCGTTACAATCTAATAATGTAACAAACCTATCAAATCAATTCATTAATTATTTATTGAACTTATCAAATAACTAATTATTTCATTAACAGTTTATTTCAATCACAACGCAAGTCAGTTAAATACAAAGACGTACCAGCTAAAAAAAAGCTGGTGCGCGCATCACACAAATTTCACTTACCGTTCTACTCAGAAATTATTTTCTGGCAATGTTAGGCTATTAAAAAATTTTTGAAGTGCACTTTTAACGGAGCTAAAGCTGAAAGTTAAAAGTTTCCATTTAGTTAAAAATAAAAGTCCAGTAATCTCGAAGAACAATGGATGGATTTTGTATTCGATTATCGGATTCAACTTATCTTGAAATGTAAAATGGTCGGTGATATGCAAACGATCACGGGCGGATCTACGGGGGGGGGGGGGGCTTTCGGGCTGAAGCCCCCCCAAAATGGAAAAATATAACCATGTTTTATGGGAAAAAAATTTATAAAATACCTCTTGAAGTACTATTCTTTGTGTAATTACATTTAATACTACTTAAGGAATAACTTAAACACCATTTCATATATGTAGTTAGTTTCTTTCTGTTTTCCCAAAGTAATTATCGTTATTTTTATGAAAAAAAAAGGTTTCGGGCTGAAGCCCCCCCCAAAATTAAATCCTGAATCCGCTAGTGCAAACGATTAGACGCTTTAGGACACAGACTGCGGAGGAAAATAAATAAAAACGCTTCTGCATTTATCCTCAATTTCATGCCACTGCCTTCAGGGCGCCTTGAATTTGGTACCTCTGTTTTAAGCCATTGAAAAGTATTGTTTATTTCGAGAACCATACGCTTTTCTTTTTTTTTTTTTCCTTTGTTGGCCCAAGACTTCCATTGAATACTGCCCAACCATTCACATTAGGTCATGCTGATAATAGATTCGCTGATCCACTACCATATCAATAACAGAAAAGATAAATATTTATCATCGATTCATTAATTATTATTTTATCATTTCAGTTCAATGCCCTCCTTGGATTTGAAACTTCGTATAGTATTTACATAAGTAGTTACACTTAGAGTAGCGGATCCAAGAGTTAATTTTAGGAGACTTCAGCCCGAAAGGATTTTTTTTTCATAAGTATAACGATATTTAAATTGGAAGAAAAAGAAAGAAAATAACTACCTAAATGAAATTATGTTTAAGTGATTCTTAAAACACTATAAAGAAGTGCATTTTAAACGGAGCTAAAGCTTAAAGCTTACAGATAACAATTCATTAAGACCATTATAATTACAAAATGTCTATTTAATATATCGACAACAGGCAATAAAAATCTAGTCACTTCATCTGCTTTTATAAACCACACAACTTTCTTTGCTTCTATAAACTTCAGAATGACTAACTCCAATTTCAATATTTTTTAGTGATGTCATTTTAGTGATATTTTTAGTTGAAAAAGTTATCTATGCAGAATATGAGTAAGTTGATTCCGGAGGTGGTGATTGCAATGTTGAAATATAGAACTGAGAATAAAGGTATATATTTAGGTACTTATTTCTTATGAAAAATGTTCTTAGGAAAGATACTTTATTAAATATCTGTAGAAAAAATGTTTTTTTAGTCTCAACAATTAAAAAAGTATATTTTAAATTTATACAAATTTTCGCCTCTTCAGGGAAAAAAACTAGAGACCATATCTTTCCTCCTAGTTGTCCGATCTTAACGATTTTTTTTTTTGTTTTTTTATGAAATTCCATAAACCTTTAAAAAACCGTATACAATAACCCAAAAAAAGTGTATACTTTTTGAGTAATTCGGAATTTAATTTTACCATCCCTCGTAACTTTTTTTCCAGCTTCTTTTCGTTGAAGTATGTTATATAGATAAATTTATAGGGTGTCGAGAAAATGACTTTAGCGAAGTTTCATTGAAATCGGTACATTCGTTTAGGAGCTATAGTCTATAGCAACGCAGGTTTTTCTGCATTTTTTTTTCACCTTTATTAACTTATCAAATTCTTTCAAAAGTTATATTTAGCATTTTTTTTTTTACTTTGAATAATGTGAAATGATTAACTTTTTTAAATAAACCATATTAAAGGTACTTTAGAGGAAGACGTGTATGAACATTGGGCATTTAAGCCCTGTAAAGTGACATCAATGGGGATAAGACCTAATTGATATTAAAGACCACTTAATTATACAATGATACACCGAGTTTAATCAAAATCGAAATATAAAGTGGCACTTCCGGTTAGCCGATTTTAAGGAAAAAGTTGCCTTCACATCTAAGGCATATACCTATCTTAAATACGTAATATCAGTTTCGTAGGACTTTTCGTTTTTGAGCTAGACTGCTAACATAAAAACACACAGACACACAGACCCTTTTTCCGGACTTGGTTATTTCGACTCAGGGTACCTCAAAACGTCTATTTCCGTTGAAAACTCAGATTCAAAAATTTTCTCGATCGCAATACTTACCCTTACTATATATTACATATATACGTAAGTGAAAGTAAAAAAAAAGTTACACTAACAAAAATACTTTTAGAGATAATTTATAAACATAACTTTCATTTACCGCTCTAATTTGAATAGAAATTATTTTCTGGCAATGTTGGACTATTATAAAGTTTTTGAAGTGTATTTATAATTTAGATAAACTTTAAACCTTGCATCAAACCTGTAACAACTCATTAAGTCTATCAAAATAGCACAAATCCTATTTATTATATTGACGGTAGGAAAGGAAAAACTTCTAACTTCGTCTGCTTTTGTAAACCGCATGATACCAGTCTCTCAGCTATATATGCATAGATAAATTTGAAAGTACATCTCTATCTTTAACCACTAGCGAATCCAGGATTTAATTTTTTTTTTGGGAGGGGGGGATGGCTTCAG